TCTCTAATGAATCTTTAGCAGCATGGCAGCACTGTGAGTGCATTTGTTTAAGAACGTGGACAATTTGTTATTAACAATTTATAATATTAATATAAAAGAACAATATGAGGCTTAGTACCTATAACTTTCTAACATCTAAAGCCATAAAAGGTGTGAAGGTTGGATTTCCGCTAAAGTTGACGGTAAGATGTTTATCGCAGCAGTGCATATGCCACTAGAATACTGTATACACCGATCAAAACATGTCGTGGAAAGGAAACAATTTTTAATTTTTCCACAATTTTTTCAATGCTATTTTTTTGCAGATTGCAAAAAAAGACATTATTGAAAGCGAATTCAATCCCACATTCGTAGAACGGTTACTTCCTCGACTGGATTGGTCAGCAATACGTTTGGCTGCGGAAGTGGTAAGTCGCTTGAGAATATTCTAAATTTTGCAACTTACTGTATTATTATTTTCACTAGGTTGACTTGGGTGATGACATTCCCGCCGAACAACCCACGAATATTGGTGAGAATGAAGAATTGTTAAAGAAACTCCATCATTTGCTACTCGAAATCGATGTGCTTGAAGGGCAATTGGAGTGTCCCGAAACGGGCCGTATTTTCCCCATAACAGAGGGTATACCAAATATGTTACTAAATGAAGATGAGGTTTAAGATATTCATAAGAACATAAGTGGCTGCTCACGTCAATGTTTCTTTTACTTACTTAAATGTATATATTAAGTTATTTTTAAATATTCTAAATGAAAGAAAGTTTAGTTATCTAAAAAAGAATGGTTTTTGAGTGGTTTAAAATAGGTAATGGTCCTGCAAATTAGAGTTCGTTTTTAATATTTATTGAAAAATGTTTAATTCACTATAAAATGTATTCAATTCACTCATATCGTTCATTTACTTCAATAGTGTCATAACTCAAAAAAGCCCCCCTCCAGAAAAACGGCTTTAAAGTTTTGTATTTACATATACTCCCATAGTAAAAATGAATACATATTTTGTTCTAGTGAGATACTGGTAAGCGATACAGCTATGAAATTTTCACATAACATAGAACAGGTAGAAGTAATTTCCGCATACTCAACTCAAAATTTGTATATTTAGGATTATGACACTACTGAAGTAAACGAGCGCGATATGTNTTTAATATTTATTGAAAAATGTTTAATTCACTATAAAATGTATTCAATTCGCTCATATCGTTCATTTACTTCAATAGTGTAACAGAAAAACGGCTTTAAAGTTTTGTATTTACATATACTCCCATAGTAAAAATGAATACATATTTTGTTCTAGTGAGATACTGGTAATCGATACAGCTATGAAATTTTCACATAACATAGAACAGTTAGAAGTAATTTCCGCATACTCAACTCAAAATTTGTTTATTTAGGATTATGACACTACTGAAGTAAACGAGCGCGATATGCACATTTTTAGTATCCTACAAACATTTAGATTAGAAAGCGATTAGAAAACGATTTGAATTCTAATGTGTTTCTCTAACGCTGGATTACCACCAGGCATAAAAGGCAACCATTTTAATGAAAAGATTAGACTTATAAAAATATTCGTGTCATTACGTTAAAAAAAGGTAATTAAATTTATTTCCACATGGNATTACCACCAGGCATAAAAGGCAACCATTTTAATGAAAAGATTAGACTTAAAAAAATATTCGTGTCATTACGTTAAAAAAAGGTAATTAAATTTATTTCCACATGACATTTTTTAAATGCATCCAATTTTTTGTAATTTCAAAGCCTAGTGGAAATTCTGTATAAGGTAGAAGGTTAGAAGACCATTAGAGAAACTGTCGAGATTTATGGAATTCTCTACAAAAAAAGGACTTAGTCCCTATCAAGAAAGATGTTAGATATCTAATCGTTTTCTAACGTTAAATTCGAATTGGTTTCTAATGTGTGGTGCTTTTCTAATCATTCTCTAACCAATCGATTCGAGAACTACATATATTAGAATTCTAATGTAAAATCGAACTATTTCTCTTACGTTAGAGAAAGTGTTTGCTGGATGTAATTAGTCGCTATAGCGCTTATCGAAGGTTTCTCAAATTATTTTCAATCGTTAATATTTAATAAAATACACACACAAAGTATAAAGTTGTTAATTGTTAACAACAGAAAATCACAATCAACAATTAATTACAATTAAAATATGCCCAACAGTGACTGTAACTTAGTTTAATGCAACTTAGGATGCTCGCCGATCCAGCTCTGATGTCCTCTTCCGAATTTTTTCAAAACAACCATATAATCAACTTACCTTTTTTATGAAATCTCAGGGTTAAGTGATTTAGAAAAACATTTGAAGCCCATTTCCACCAAAAAGCTTGGCTGCAGTTACCAGCTGAGCTAAGTTCCAAGAATTTTAAAATGAGGTGGTCAAGCAAGACTTATTCCTTACTTTTTAATTTTTAACCGACTTCCAAAAAAGGAGGAGGTTATCAGTTCGTCGGAATATTTTTTTTTTATGTATGTTACCGCATAACTTTGGACCACGCCAACCGATTTCGATAATTCTTTTTGCAAGAGAGTGTCTCAGAGGTGGTCCCATACTAATTTGGTTTAGATCCGATCATTGGATCGTGAAATAAATATACATAAATATATATTTTTTTAAGTCGGTTTTTTTTTGCTAAAAATTACTTCTTTACTTCGTTTTTTTTCAATTGCATAAACTACGGTTAAGGCATTGGGAAATGAAATATATGTAAATGATCTAAAGTAATCTTCACAGTAAAACTTCAATGAATTCCAGCTCCTTATTAAAAATACAGATTTATTCGAAAAAATATACGCTCTTCTGAAATCTTTTCCTCTCTACATACTTGAGTACTAAAGGTCTACATACAATTTTACAATTACAACATATATTTAAATATTTTCCATCTACGTTTGTTCTTAATTTAATGCATTTTTAGTTTCAAATTACATACATATATTCCGCACATTTTGTGGTTGTTTTAGATGCTTATGCCTCATTTCCACCGAACGCTTAATGCAGTTAAGATCTCAGGTTAGTTCCCAGAATTTTAACATAGGATAACCCTCAAATTTTATTTCTTAATTTTTGCTTTTTTACTTTCGTTTGCTTGTATTTAATATGACCAATTATCCTCTTCGTGTTGTAATCTCTTTTTTTCCAATAGGTAAAAGCTGCAGTTAAGGCTTGGTGGAAATTAATTTAATTTAATAAAAGTGAGATTGAATACTTCGTAAATAGACGAGTTAACACAAATTCAAGTTAAAATTGTTTGCGACAGTACGTCTGAAAGTATTCACATGGAGTTTACACTACATTTGGCACACATAAATAGTAAAGTAAATATTATAGTTTTATATGGTATTAGAATCATAGATATAGTATCTTTATCATTAATTTATATCCCTTCAGTTGCATTTAATATTTGCTGTATTCGTATTACCAGACGCAGCGAGTTGTGCATAAATACTGCCTTTAGCTAGTCCCTTTTGTGCGCCCTTGCAAAGCTCTGGATTACGTCCCATAGGTTTATATGTGCGTTCACACAACTTGCTAGCATCTGGACCATTAGCCAATTGCTTTTGATTGTTGCCTTGTGGCATGTCTGGATTCGCACCATTCCAGGTAACATAGTCAGCTCTAAAAAAACAANCCCATAGGTTTATATGTGCGTTCACACAACTTGCTAGCATCTGGACCATTTGCCAATTGCTTTTGATTGTTGCCTTGTGGCATGTCTGGATTCGCACCATTCCAGGTAACATAGTCAGCTCTAAAAAAACAAAAAAACAAAAATGGAATGGGAACTGAAGAACATGAAAATTTTACAAAATCGTATATAACATACAGCAGCAGACTCTCATCGGCACCTTTGGCCAATTCTGCGCTATGTCCAGTTGTAGTGATGCGTCCTAGGATAGAATTGAACTCTTTACGTTGTTTGAAGTCACTTAGCTTGTCTACAGAATCTTTTTGTAGTGCTCTGTGATTATTGGATGATAATAAAAAAAATATTATTCAGCCGTAAACTCGTACATTGGATAAAAAAAAACGAAAGAAATCTGAAATTAATTATACATACATAATAAACACAAACACACATACAGAAAAATACGATCAAATGCTTAACAAGTAGATGAGCGGAGTTAGGAAGTAAAACCATGCAAATAATTTGAAAGAAAGAATTAAAAATATACATAAATTGCAAATATAATTTTTTTTCATTTAACGGTTATACTAAAATGTGCTTTGTTAAAATAAAATGCTATATTGAACAACAGTATGTGCAGAAAGGCTCTATCTATTGCTTTTGTATTTTATATTTATCTTTCTCTTAATCCTTATCTTTTTCTCTGTCTCATATGAAACTTTAACTTTATCTTTATTACTATATTTATCTCTGCTATTTTCCTTGTGCTTATCTTTATCTTAATCATTATCTATATCTTATCTTTATCTCTAAGTTTATCTTTAACTTCATTTTTATCTTTATGAACAATAATAGCTCTGATCCAATACTTTTCGAGTAAAATCCTGTAAAAATGTCTGACAGCAAAATTACTCTCTGAAGTGAGAGTAAAAAGTGAATAACAACAAAAAGTAGGGCAACATAAAAAGCATTTTCCTGTAAAAACGTCAACCAGTGATCGCTTGACACTTTTCATGATTTTACCAGAAGAAAAACTTGGGGGTAAAATCTTGCAACTTCATTCTCTACACAACTCTCCAAAAACAGCTCTCATTTACAGGATTTTGGAAGAATTTGGAGTACGGGATCATTTTTCCTGTAACTTCCTGCAAGTTCGTGTAAAATCCTGTAAGTTCGTGGAGTACTGGATCAGAGCTAATATTTTGGCGCTCATACCTTAGCTTTGTTTCTGCTGAACTTCTCTTCCACTTTGTGGTGTGCGTCCTAACGTTATAACACAAATGGAGGGACCTACAATTCTACGCCGCCTCCGAATGGCAAATAGTTTTGATGATAAGCTTTTGCAAGGCAAAAATACATTCGGAGGTTTGCCACTGCCTGCCGAGATGCGAAGGCTTGAAAAAAAAACTTTTTCTAATTTAAATATTACTCGAAACAGGGAACGAACCCAAGTCCTACGGAGTGGTGGTACGCACATCTAACCACTCAGCCACTATAACTATCTTTTAATTTATTTATTATCTTATATTTATCTCTATCGCAACCTTTATCTATATAATTTTTTTCTTTGACTTTTTATTTAGATTTAACTTTATATTTGTCAGTGTCTATGTCTGTCCCTTTGGCTTCATCTTTATTTCTATACTTTATTTATTTCTATATTTAACCTTTTATTCATATTTAGTGGTTAAGTTAAGACTCCGTTGAAAAGTTTTGAAGTTTGATATGTGGAAAAAAAAATCTGCAAGGATATAGCAGACAATTCTTACGCCAAATGATTCGCGAAAGACGCTAACGAAAAATTGAGCCACCCCAATGTACGACAGTCGGGTCTGTGTGCAACCGGAACGGAACCAAAAACTTAGGGGAATTTGTATGCTATTACAACAACAAAACGAGTATATCACCGTGCGACAGTCAATTTTACACACGAAAAAATTAAAATATTCACAAAACTGGGGGCTAAATATAGTATAACTGCGTTTTTAGTTTTTCTCTCTGACGTCAGGATTTTTTTTTTAAAGGACTTTGAAATTTCTAGAATATGATTGAATAAAAACAATAAACAAAAGATTCGGTGCATTGTAGAATAACAATATGGGTATCAATTAAAAGGAAAAGTTATGTAGAATAGAAAAATAATTATCTTTTGGGTGCACCAGGACGAATAAGTATTGAAAATATCCTTTTATTTAAATAAATTTATGCTTAAATATCCTTGGAAACTTTCAATATTAATTTTTGAAAAAAATGTATGTCAAAGACTAATATGTTAACTACCACATCCTCGAATTTGCTCCGTCTAACTTTATTAGTTTTAGATAAAAAATATTTTACACTCCTCCTTATAAGATATTGATAGTTACAATATACTTAAATGAAGATACTGGAATAATTACTATGGAACCATGTATGCGCTCTAAAAGAACAAACTGACCGTATATTTTGTATACAAGGGCGTAGCCATCCTTTCACCTAGGGGGCAGGTTTTGTGAATATATTGATCTTTTCGTGTGTTTTGAAAATTTTTGGTTTTTTTCGCACGGTGTTATAGTTCTGGCCGGGGGGCCTTGTCGCTCAACAATTTTAGACATCTGACTTGCTAAATTCTAGTTTCCAGACAGAAAGAAATAGGAAGAAGCTACAGTCATGAAGTTTATGGAAGAGTTAGACTATACTGTCATATACACCGACGACTCCAATCTGGGGCAGAGAGTAGAAATTGGTATTTACTACCGGGAAATTTTACTTAAACTATGCTCTCGATTGCCCGATTACTGCAAAGTGATTGAAGCCGAGCTGACAGGTATTAAGGAAGTCGCGCAGTGGTTAATCAGGGCTAATGTTAACCTGCCAGAAGTAAAGATATTCGCGGACAATCAAGACGCTAAAGATATATAATACTAAGTACTTCACTTCCTCTGAAATACACAACTATCGAATATTGACATATGTACATACATACAAATTCTAAACGAGCTGCCTGCACACTGCAAGTATGACTTGGGTTCGAAGACACGGCCACAGTGGGTCAGATATGAAGCGGATATACGCTTTCATTCTTAAAACCTACTTCCTGGTACTGGCAAACAGAAGTTGGTCTATACAGCCTACATGTAAGTCCAGCACCTTCAATCTCCTGGAACAGCCTGAACTTAGTATGGTTGTTGGAATCATCACTGGACATTAATAATAATAATAATAGATTGGCGCTTACACATATGTTAGTGTTTGGCCGAGCTTCTCCTCCGATTTGTGGCGTGCGCCTTGATGTTATCACACAAAGCGGAGGGACCTACAGTTTTACGCCGACTCCGAACGGCGATTGTATTTTTATGAGAAGCTGTTTTTCATGGCAGAAATACACTCGGGGGTTTGCCATTGCCTGCCGAGGGACGACCGCTGTTAAGAAAAAACCTTTTTTCTATATTTTTGCGATGTTGCTTTGACCAGGGTTTGAACCCAGGCATTGTAGAGTGGAAGCGCGCACTGCTTACCACTACACCACAGCGGCCGACCTGGACATTGCCTAATAGGATACACGCACGAAGAAAGGGCTTTCTGACAAACGACTTCAGTCACAACTGCCTAGATGAAAATAAAATTTAAAGCGGCGAGTATTTTCTCTTCCAATGTCCAGGATTGGGGACAAATTTAAACATTTTGAAGATCCCAATAAGTTGTTCTCTATTCGTAAACTGAACATAGAATGGTGCTTAAAACATTACTAAATATTTTGAGTTTAAATAAATTCAATTAACAGCTACTTATTTGAAAAATTAAAATATTTGAACTTAATACTTAAATTGTTTTTTATAGCCCATTTCCACTCAAAGCCTTACTGCATTTAAGCGCCCAGGGGTAAGAATTTTAACATCGGCATGTTTTTTTTCTAACTTTTTGCTTTTTCATGCTCATTGGCTTGTACTGAATATGCGCAATCACTCTCTTCAAGTTGTAATCTCCTTTTTCCAATAGGCATAAACTGCAGTTAAGGCTTGGTCGAAATGAACTATTACTTATCAAAAATATTTCATAAAAATTTAACTGAAAAGTAAATTGCCAAAAACTAAATACTATATACTAAATAGAAGTAAAATAATTAAAAAATAATAATAATAATAAATCGAGATGCTGAACACACGAGAATGCAATAAAAATGCTAAATTTAATATTTCTAGTCGTGGGCAAGATTAAAATATGAAACATTTGAAAACCATAGATACATTCAAAAAATAATAAAAACTTTTCAGAGTAATAAGAAAATTAGTTCTAAAAAGATCAATAGTTTCTGCAAGCACTTCACAGTTAAGCTCAGCGTACTTTAATGAGTCGGTTTTTTCGCTTAAGCGTGCCGCTTTCAAGTTATCCAAAATAGAAGCCGTGGTAGTACGCGTAGAAGCGGAAGTTATAGTCGAGGTTTTGGTGCTACATGGTGTACCATGCAGATATCCATTGATTCTAGTGGCATACGCATTGCAACGTGCCAGGATGCTCTTTGTTGTAATTGTTTGATATTTTGCTGGCTCTGTGCTCAGCGATGATGGCACAGATAACGATGTTGATGCTGCTGTTGGTTCATGTGATATGCAAAGCTCTTTGAGTGCTTCGGACGGTGAAATGGAGGGAGTCGATTGTGTGGCTGATGAACTTATATTTGTATATGAGTTTTTCAATGGATCAACAGCATCGCTTGTGGCGAATGTTGTTGCTGGTAGTTGCTCTTCGTTGTGTTCAATATTGCAAGTGGGCGAATTTGAGAGTATTATCTGAGTAGTAGCCGTAGTGGGCGTGGTTAGATTAATGGAAGGAAAAGCTACCTTTTTGCCAATGTTGCGAATTGCATTGATTTTTGTGGAGGATTTTAGGGTGCTGGAAGTTAATAAAAGCGGTGGTACTGATGATGATGCCGATGACGATGATGATGTTGTTGTTGTTGTGGCTGTTGATGATGTTAATGGTGATGAATATGATATGGTTGTATGTGGAATATCTTTGACAGAAGCATTATGGCGACTTTTAACGTTGTCGCTGTAGGTATTTGGCGATGGTGTGAGGACAACGGTGATGATGCTGCTTATTTTGTTAAGAATTTATTAGATGGGAAAAATAATTTTGGATTTATTAGCGTAAATTAAATGGATATTGATTGGGAAAGAAATGAAAAAAAAAAACATGAAAGCGAAAAAGCGAGCGTAGATTAGATAAAATGAGATTTTTCACAAATAAATAACGTAAAACTTTGAGAAAGTGAACAAATTTTGCTTTTAATTTTTAATATGTATGTAGGCATGTAAATCATAAATATTTTGCATAAATTTCATTTGCCGAAATGTTTAATGTACACAGAAGAATTATAAATGCAATTTAGTTAGTTTGAAAGCCTCATAACATCTTTGAGATACATACAGTGGTCGAAAAAATTGTAGCCGCACCACATGTTAAATAGTTTTTAATATATGTATTATTTTTTTTTTGTTATTTAATTTTACTTATTTTTATTTTATAAAAAATATTGTTCATTCTTTAACAAAACCGTGTAAATCCAAGTTTCAAACTTTGTGCAATATTAAAACAAATTAGCAACTTTTCTTAAAAATATCGAGCTTTTTAACTCGACTTTTTAATGGCTTAAAATTACTGTTAATTTTTTAGTTTTTTTTTTGTCGAAGATGTTTCTTCTATATATGTAAACATAAAGTGTTTATTCGTTATAAGGAAACTAACGGTAATGTTTAGCCATTTGAAACTTGTACTTTATTCTACTTGAATTCAATGGGCTACAAAATCTTTTTAAGAAATCTCGAAATTTTTACGAAAGTTTGTCGATTTTTTTTTAATGTCGCACAAAGTTTGAAACCGGAATTTACATGGGTTTCGTCAAAGAATTAACTATATTTTTATAAAAAATAACCACGATTAAATAACAATATAATAAATTGTTAAAACTTGTGGATCGGCTATAATTTTTTCGAATATTAATATGTATTAAACATTTTTTTTTGTAAGTAATTTTCTTATTTATACATTTCCAATTCATTGCAAAACTTCGAATTCTATATATTAAGAAAACAAAACATACACCAGGAAATTTATTGTGAAAGATGAGAGGGCATTAGTTCAAAACACTTTTTCGCACTCCAAAAACCAATCCATAAAAATTAAACAACAGAGGTACATATTCTCCTCATATGGAAATTAACACTCACCAATCAAAATCAGAAAAAAAAACAAAAAAAAAAACAATATATATCGAACTCACTTATCCTCAGCTGCATTGTTATCGGCCAACGTGCCTTGCATACCACTGGCACCCAAAAGCACTTCGGCTTCACCGCCAGCTGACGTCAGCGCAATAGCAGCAGCGGCATGTTTCCTGGCGTCCAGCTCATCCTCCTCCTGCACAATATGAAGAATTTGTATGGCACGATCCTCAGCGTAGTTGACCGATTCTAAAGCCATAAGAATAATGCGATCAGCTGTCTGTGGGTATTTCTCTTTCAGTTGGGCTTGTACTGCAAAACAGGAAATATGAGTTATAAATTTTAAATAAATATCATCTAAAAAAAATAAGTTTTTAGTGTATAAAAAATACTTACTTGCTGCCTTCTCCTCGATCGTGTACTCTTTCGGGCGCAGTGGTATAATCGTCTCATCGCCAGGCTTTTTGACCGCCCCAGCATGTGCATGCTCTGCATCGAAGCGATGTGTGGTTTTTGGTGGTATAAAATCACGTTTTGTATAGCCCATGGAAATGAGTTTCTCTGATGCTGTTTGTACATTATTATCGGAGCTGGCGAGTATATCCAAGAGAACCATTTCATCTGCCTTGGGGAAAATGGTTTTCAAGTATCTGAGGTAAGGGAAAGCGTAATCTGTTTTATTTTTGGTGGATGGCAAGTATTGCAGAATTTAAAGTTGCGAGAATACGAAAAAATAATAATTTTCTGCTCAAAATTTAAAAACATGTAAAAAATTTGTTAATTACATAGAAAAACTAATATAAAATCAAATTAAATAAATCATTAATCTGTTGAAAAATACTAAAAAAATAAATAGAAGCTATAATAAGCTATCATTTTTGTAAAGGCTCAGTACATACATACATATAATAAAGTGAAGAAAAACAATTTTTTTTTATTAAAATTATAAAACTAGAGGGTCATTCCATGTTGAAGTGGAAAATGAGATACATTTATAATGCCTTAATTATCCCTATTTCAGTAGTAACCTCTGCTAAATGCCTACCTTTCATTAATCTGTTGAAAAATATTAAAAAAAAACTACACTACATATGTACAAACTACTACTACATATGTATGTATTTACTTACATCAGTCACAAGGACATGCTCCACCAGTGACAATTTTAAGTATTGCTATGCAGATTATATACGCCTAAATTTTTATGAAAACGAAAGCGTATAGTAAAAATCAGGCTTCAAAATGAAGCTTTTTGGATAAAATTCGCCTTTGAGTGCACAAAGGTGTGTTACAAAGAATTAAGAAAATGTTTGGTATTTTTAAAAAGATCTTTCACTCTTGTATAGGCTCCGAGGACATACATACATAATATGTACATGTCGTCGATGTTTTTGCAAAACCGCCTAAATCGCCGTTGTGGTAAAAAAGAGAATTGGTAACCCTGAACTCCAGGCATCGAGATTTATGCATAAAAATCGTTAAATCGTTATTAAAACAACACATTTGTAAAATAATAGCTAGAGAAAATACCGCCATAGTGCCGTAAGATGGGTGGTTTTGCAAAAACATCGACAATATGTATGAAGCTATAACACCAGTCAACACAATTTTTTAAGTCTGACTTCCACATGTTAAATTTTAGTTTCTCCTACGCTAAAATAAGGGAAAAAATTATTTTTTGATCAAAGTTTGCTTCACTAATTTTTATATATTTTTTTTTATAATTTAACTTTAAATTACGATTAGAAAAGTTTTTGCTGGATATCAGAGTCTTTTTTATTTCAGATTTGTGATAAACAATAACATATAAATTTAAAATAACAAGAAATTAATGTCTAAAAGTGAATATTTTTCGGATTTCTTATACTTATCGGCGTTAATCAGACAAGAGCAAACTTTAAGAACTAAAAATGAAAATTCAAGTGTTTTTTAATGTTTGGAATGAGAATCTAAGCAAGAGAACAGAAACCCAAAGAAAAAAAATGTTTGTTGACCGGCGTAATTTTAAATTGCTGATATTCTGGAATTAAATGATCCACCAGCCAAAATGGAATTGCCTTAAATTAAATTAAATAAAATTAATATAAAATAAAAAAAAATTAAAAATCAGTAGAACAATAAAATAAAAAATAAATAAAAACGAAAATATTCAATAAAAATAAAAAACCTATACAATGAAATAAAAATTAAAAAAGAAAGCATTAAATAAGATAAAAAAATAGTAAAAAATATATATATAAAAAATATAAATAAAACAAAATATAAAAAAAGATAAATGAAATAAAATAAAAAATATAATAAAAACATCAAAAGTTGAAAAAAAAACTAATAAATTGAAATAAAAACATTTTAACAAAAAATATTAACAAAATTACTGAAATAAAATGAAATAAAATTAAGTATAACAAAATTTTTAAAATAAAATAAATAGTATTAAACAAAATAAAATTAAAAATAAATAAAAATATAAAACGTTGAAATGGAAAATAAAGTAATTTAAATAAACAAAATTTTTAAACTATTAAGTCTAAATAAAAGTCAAGATGTTTATATTGCGTAGATCTAAGTTGTAAAGTCAAAAACTTCCTGGATTCATGGCATTTTCCATGTCATTTTGAATAATAATTGTCATTAACTTTAATCTAATACAGTAGAATCATGCTTTTCTTATATATATGTATACACACATATCGTCGTTTAAAGTACAAAACCGCGTATCGTCATTCCTCCAAACCGCGTAACTGACATTTGCTGCCAAAAATTGGATTTGCTCACCGAAGCTCTTGGCTCAAGCCTTATCCATTCGTCCTCAAATATACTTGCCAGAAATGCGATTGCTTTACAAAAAAGAGGACCATTTTGAAATATGAGTGTTTTTACTCTCTAGAAAATAATTTATGCAACCTCACATACGCGGTTTTGCATTTTCTTGATACGCGGTTCTGTACTTTAAACTACGATTTGTATGTATGTTGCCACTGTGAATTAGAATGGCCGCTCGTATTACGCCTTCCAATATAAGATTGCAGAAGTCGCAAAAAAGTGAGTTCTACTGTCCAAAATATCGTTTGTAGAGGTGCTTTTCAATTAAGACAGTGGTAAAAGTTGTGCTCAGTGTCAGTCTACATGGTCGTATTAAATTTAGGTATGGCGCCGCAGAGGTAGCTTCTCTTTATGCTGTTAAAAGTGACTCTAAAATCAACAAAACGATGGTGTGCGTCGATTTTCTTATCTAAGATTTTTTCCACTATTTCACGAGCAGCAAACGAGTGTTCAATGGACGATTTGCCTGATGTCAAGTTATCCCTATAAGGTGCAGGCAATTGGCTTATAAAGGGCTTTAGTCTTTCAGGCCGTATCATCGATCTTCGGCGCCAGCTTTGAAAAGCTCAGCCGGCAGTGCTCCAGCAGCATCGCCTTTTTTAAGCGGTGTTATTACTGCTCTCTCTACGACTTGGTTGAGTGAAGGGACATGAGCTTCGTCCCTGTGCATTGGTCTGGACTCCATGTCTCTGGTGTGTGTACATTGGACATCTGATACCAGATTTCCATCTTATTTGCTGATAGAATATCCGTGCCGCATTTCTGCATGCCAACAGTTCAAGCTCTACACCGGTAGTGGGCATCAGCTTGCCCGCGGGCAAGGCTCTTTCAAGCTTTCTATACGAAATATATAAAAAGCCGGCTATCTTTTATGCCTTTTAAAAATGCGTCTCTCAATAACCCGTACTTAGTTCTCAATAACTTGTAACTCATAGTGAATGAAATGCAATTAAAAATGATTGGCGCCATATTTGATAACTTTTAGCATAATTTTTGCTTTTTTTAAGAACATTACCTAGAACGGACGTAAGGTATCTCATTTTTTAATTCTAGATGTTTGACATGCAAAAAAGGCATAGAGGGTGCCTCTATTTTTTAATTTTAGATTACTTATAAGCTCGCCAGAATCAGTGCGTTCTATCTCTTGTGCAAAAGCGTGCAACTGAAAAGTGGATAAACTTTACGTATCGAACGAAAATCGCTATACTCTTTACTTTTCATTTACAGCAAGTAGGGAAGAACAATAGTTTCAGATGGGATAACAGTCAGCTGATTTGGAACCAAAGAATAAGTGCACTTTTGTTTAGATCAAGGCTTTCATTGTAACTTGTCAGTTGGAAACTTTTCCTGAAGGGATGGGGAAGTGCTCATTCTCACATCGGCAAGCGTAGAATTTCACGCCAAGCTTTTTAGAACACTTTCAGACTTCATAATATTTAGGCTGAATAAAGCTCTGAAAGCCTGGGCTCGAATCGTAACATCCGTTCATGGATCGAAAACCATATGAAAGCAAATTACGTGATACGTCAGTCTTATAAAGCTGAATGGGATAAGGAGTATGTTCGCGTATGTGATAATACGAAAAGTGTGTGTTTTACGTGACGAGTAATACGGTATCGTATGTGACGAGTAATACGGTATCGTATGTGATGATTCGAACCCTGAACAGCGCTTAACGCCAGAAAAGCTTAGGGTGGATTCCCAATTTAAGCGACAGATCACTCATACGCCCTGTCTGGTTTGCATAAGTCGACTACATACATAAATACCAATAGCTAAATTGGATATGACCAAAAATATTACTTATATTATATTAAGTACAGTAGTTACTAACAGCCTCTATGGCAAGAAAAAGCTTCCAAAATAAGGTTAGTCAAAAGCATAATAATAATAATAATAATAGATTGGCGCTTAAACATATGTTAGTGTTTGGCCGAGCTTCTCCTCCGACTTGGGGCGTGCGCCTTGATATTGTCACACAGGGACCTACAGTTTTACGCCGACTCCGAACGGCGATTAGATTTTTATGAGAAGCTGTTTTTCATGGCAGAAATACACTCGGAGGTTTGCCATTGCCTGCCGAGGGACGACCGCTGTTAAGAAAAAAAGTCAAAAGCATAGAAGTACAAAAAATATAAGCGTTGGATTCTTGTACCACATCCAGCAAATGAAAAAATCATAAAAGCGCAACCGAAATTTTAAAAATAAAACGCATAACATTGATGCATATAAAAGCAAATTATTCTAATAGAAATACTATATATGTAGGTATTCTAAACTCATTGTCGGACCTTAATTTCATCTTTGGCGACGTGTGCGGCTTCGGAGAACTGCGCCATTGTTCGAAACGTGGCGAACCCTGATGGAACGGCATAGCTGCGGCAGCAGCTGCAGCCATATAACCACCACCACCACCTCCCCCATAACCGCCCCCAACGCCACCATGCACGCTTGTGACACTACCAAAACGACCGCCACCCGGTATGGGACTGGCTGTGCGCGAAGTACAGCTAACACCAGCGCTACCATTGAGACCAGCAAAGGGCCCAACGTTGCGTGCCGCTATGCCCTTATCCAGGCGACGTGCCGGTGGAGTCATATGAAAAGCGGAATTGCTGTGATAGAGATGGCGTTGGGCAGGCGGTGTTACATATGGGCCAGGCATGGTAACCGGATGCTTTTCCACTTGCAAAGCGCTTATGACGACAGCTTCACGATTGTAATACCTGTGCATTGTGTGTGTTAGCATTTGTGTGAGTGTAAAAATAAAATACAATAGCGTTTAGTGGAAATTGTTAGTATTTTTTTTTTTTACATTTATAGACAGACAGTGCATGTGTGTGTGAGTTTAGTGTGATAGCGGTAGTGGAGGTTAACAGCACAGAAAGTTTTGCAAACGACGCGGCGGTAAGCGTGTAAAAGCGAAAGATTAGTGTGATTAGTACAATGAAACATTGTTTTTTTTAGCGATTTTCAAAATATTCGCCACGGACTTACTTTTTAAGTAGCAGACGTATATGATCCTCGCTGGCGGTTGGAAATATATTCTGTATTTTATTTACCACCGCATCTGTGTCGATAGGATTTGTAAAGGAAGTCTCCTGTATGGTTGAACGGCGTGACATATTGCCCAATCGTGGAGTTTGCGTCAAAGAGGAGCGTGGCAATGGCAACGGCGACATTTCCTGCAATGCAAAGTAGGTATATATTTTAACAAATGTTAATCATAAAATATAATAATACACGTTAAGTGCATAGCTGTTGTTTAGAAACTCACCAAATTCCCACGAGAAGACAGCAAAGGACTGGAGGACATATTATGCAAACTTGTGTTTGTGCCAGGGCCCGCCTGAAAAGCACGCACTGCAGGCAAATTGTTGCTTGGATACACATGATAGGGTGAGCCATGCTGTACTGGCTGTACAAATAAATATGTACAAAAACGTATACAGGGTGAACCGGTAGCGGCGAAGAGGATAATTTACAAAATAAAGCGCATAGTGAAATCAAATCGAGTAATACATACATACAAACTACTGTACATAAAGGAATATATAGCTACTCTTATACATATGTACATATATGTAACCTTTTATTTTACCTGCATAGCTATGGATTCGTTGGAGCAGCGTTCATTCTGCAATTGCTTATAACGCGAACGTGGATCCTCCAGCTGCATTGCTTTTGTAAAATAGTTGATGTAGTAACTGCAAAGAAATTAAAAAAAGAAAAATTAAGCAATAAGTGCATACAAACATATAATACCCAAGTAGATACTTGTACACACTTATGTATATCTAAGTATGTACAAATATAAAGCTCATTACTATGCTCAATTAAATCACAGTAAGCCTCATAACACAACCGTATTTATTTGACCATGGAAATGGCCTAGAACTGGCTTATTCCTTCCCACGGTCTCGTTTTTACGCACATCGAAGAAAGTCGAAGGCCGCAGAACATCGTACTCATACACATACATATGTATGTAAATGCACATACAACCACATGCATGTATGCATAGAACTATGCATAGCGGAAGTGGTTCACGGAAAAGGACAAGGACATTATATTGCCTTGGAAAATTATTTTGTGTGAAGTTGTATGTGTGTTTACTTGTAGGTATATGAATATAAAAGCGATTTTGCGAATAAAATCTGTACATGTATTTGTGTGCAGACTTTAAATAGTATGTTTATGCCCTGCTGGAAATGGGGCTAGTTTGTAGCTAACTTTTAACCACCCAGCTGTCTGCTTGTTGTAACTTTGTATTACTTATTTCCTTCGGCCGTGAAGGGCGATGGCCACAGAAAAGCGAGAACTGTTTTTCTCTGCATAAGGTTTCAACTAACTTGTAACTAACTACTTTTGGACATAATATGTATATCAATAAGAAGGAACAACTTTTTAAATGTTTATATGATTATTTATTTGCTTCATTTAAAATTACTTATTCTGCCTTATCCTGAGTTTCGCCCGAAAAAAAAAATTCCCGAAATTTCCCAGTGGAAAATGTAATGTATAGTAATCGAAAAAATAATCAGTGAAACAACCCTTTTCACAATAGAAAATGCATTTTTTCCCCAGGGCGATGTCCTAAGAAAAGTGGGGCATTCAATTTTGCATTACCAAGTATCGAGAAATTAATGTGATTTAATATGAAATTTTTGTGACTTTTTGAATACATTAGAATGCTGATTACATATTAAAAAGTAATTGGATGTAAACCCCATAAGAAATACATTCGATTATGTATCACGCATGGAATGCATTACTACTTTTCCCATTGGATTGTCATTCGCCCATAGTAAAACCATGGAAACCAAAAGTGAAAAGTGAAACGGTTCGGGGGAAAAAGAAACTCATAATAAGGCTGATTATTTCTTTATTTGTTTACATATTCTGCTCTAGGTGGTCCCATATTAGAATTCCGTCAGACAAAACGCCAAAATAATAATATAAAATTTCGATCTTCATTTTATTTGTCCTGAATTCGAAAAGGCTTGTGAGAAGTTCAGAAAGAAAGTGTATTTTTGTAAGACATTTGTTAAATATAAACTTGCAAAGAAAACAAATTCCCGATAACTTCTGCATGTCTCCTGCATGACTTTACAACTCACTTTATGTTAAAAGTGAGGTATTTATCGAAATCTATAACTATAATAACTATAAGCTAGTTATTTTTTATCAGTTGATAATTTTTTTCTGCAGGGTGTGTGCCGTGTTTGAAGTGTGCAACAGATAACACAGTATTGTAAAAATAATTAGGATATTCACAAGACGTCTTAAGCGTCGTAATGACTGAAAATACCTCTGCGTAACCTTTAAATCCGTTTTAACCCTTAATTTACATTGGAAAATAATAATCACCACTCCAGCTTTCAGCTTTGCGGCACTTATTGACAAAATTTGACTATTTGTTTTATTACTTTTTAAATTAAAAATTTTTTTTTTAGAAATATTTGAGAATTTTTTTGTTGAAGGTGGTTTGCATTTTTTCCATATAAAGTATTTTCGAAAAATTTTTTTGTATGGAAGAGACTGCGAGAAAAAAATTGCTAAAAATTCGTAGCTACTTAGAATTTCTATTTTGTTACAATAAAATGGATTGGGCTACAAAACTGCATACTGAAAAAAATTCTAAAAAATTGTATTAAAAAAAGTTGAAAATGTGCATGAAAATTAGCTGAATTTTCGCTAGTTTTGCACAAAGTTTAAAAGTTATATTTTTATGTTCTTTGTTGTGGAATGAACCAAATATGTATAAAAAATTTTCGGAAAAATATTACAATAAAAATTGTTGCATATATTGTAAGAAAAGCATCTGTGCCAATATTTTTGGCCGGCAGTGTATATTAGGCCAAAATCACTTAGCCTGTTATAGCGGCAATAAAGAAGACGACAAAACGCTTTTTGTCACTTAGTTTTTGTATTTAACTCAGAGCCTAAAACTGATGTGTTAAGCCAAATAACACTCGGCCATAAATTGCAATTGCACGCTCGTATAAAGTGCAAGTAGATACACTTATATTGTACTTCTTGAAAAACCGGTTAAGCCATTTGGCAATCTTTCTACAGCATTACACAACAGAAATAAAACGTTCTTGAGGTTAGTGGTGCCAAATATGTATGTATGTTTGTACACAATTTATCGGCATAAAAATGTATGTATGTATCTAAATACTTATGCTTACGAAAAAGTCAAAGTCCTTGAGTTAAATAGCGATTTCAACCTGTATAATTTTATCCGCGACTGAAGTTAAGGACCTTTTTGACACATTTTTGTTTTGTATAATGAATACATGCTATGTATGTGCATAAGTACATTTAATTTTATTAAAATTTTTGCTTTCTTAAATTGTGACACGTGATGAATGTACTACTCATCTATGAAGAGCAGTTAAGTATACATACATAAGTATGTACACATGTAGCTGCAAGCTTATGTTGGTAAATCTAAGGGATACAAGGATGCTGAGCAATGACAGTCTCTTGAAAATCTTTTCTTGTTAATTGAAGCTAAAACATGTTTATACATATGTACATATGTACGTATAAATGTGGTATTTATGGATGTAAGTATGTATGCTTAAAATAACAGCACACATTTCAAAAGTAAGCTTGCTTATTAAAAAATATGTACATATGTATGTACGCACTTCAATATCGTCGTACCGTGTTCTAGAAACTGAAACGGAAGCCACGGGATTATTTACTCTTATTTTAGTCAATGGGAACGTAATAAAAGTTTCACAAAATTCAACGCCTCTTTTTTTTAAGGTTTTAATATTTCTTTTTATATGCGATTTTTTTACGAGCTTTTGCAATTAAATAACAAGACGAGCTGGAATTGTTCCTGACCTACGCTTAATTTACACTTGAGTATAATAAGCTAAGCTTGCTTAAGCGACTCTTTTGATCAAGGTTGCGCCAATTACAAAATTTTCCCTAGAAGTAGATATACAATTAATAGTGCTTTTGTAGATTCCTTCATTTCAATGAATGAACAAATTCACTTCTCAAGGGGCTCCCGGTCGACCATAGACGCAATTAAATCTGTGGTCGACATTACCAAAGAGGCCATCGAAGGCAAAAGGTGCACGGAGGGAAAAAAGAGTCCTGCGCGGTAATAACCCAGGACGTAATGAACGCCTTTAATACCGCGAGCTGGTAGCGCATAATGGAAACGCTCATTAAAATGGGAGCTCCAAGATATATCATAAGAATAATTAGGAGCTATATATCACACTGCAAGCTGAAGTACTGGAGCGATAGAGGCTCTAAGGAATACAGCATCACGGCGGGGGTGCCTCAGGGATCTGTTCTCGGACCGCTACTACAAAGGTAGTTGAATGCGAAGATGATATTGCAGTGGTGGTTGTAGCGAAGCATATCCAGGAGATTGAGAGTAAAGCTAGCGAGACTATGAGGAGTATAAAAAAGGGGCTAACGTATAGGAATTTAAGCCTCGCGGATTAGAAATCAGAGGCAGTTCTAATAAGCAGCATGGAAGCCGTAGAAACGATAAGATTTAGCGTAGGGTCGGAATCCTTCACTTCCAAGCCTGCAATTAAATATCTGGCTGTTATGATTGATAATCGACTAAATTTCAGGACCCACATTGAGTATTTTTCCGGAAAGGATTCGAATGTTTAAGCATGTCTGTCTAGAATTATGTCTAATAACGGCGGTCCTAAACATAGTAGAAGAATCCTTTACTTTAGGGTGGTTAGCTCAGTTTTATTTATGCTGCTCCGATTAATGAAGGTAAAATGTTATGCACAGAAACTAACAACCATGTATCGCTTAAGTGCACTGGACTGGTCCCAGTAGACTTTCTCGCACAAGAGATGAAAAGAAAAAATATAATCACCTGTCCGAGAAAACCGATGGTCTAACGCGAAAGAAAACAGCTGCAGAAGAAAGGAGTCGTTCTATGGTAATCTGGCATAAACGATGGAACGTCTCAGAAGAAGGGAGGTGGACCCACAAGCTCATCCCCAACGTTGAAAAAAGCTTAATAGGTCTCACGGAGAGTGTAGTTTTTAGCTAACCTAGTTTCTACCGGGCCACGGTCTTTATCGTGGTTATCGAAACAGATTTCGGCATAATGACTCCCCATACTGTTCGCGGTGCATAGGAATAAGGGAAAACACGGAACACATAATGTTCTCCTGTCCCCGCTACGCCCCTGAGACACAAAATATGCTACAGGACAATGACATACTAGATCATATCGCACACCTAGATCTAAAGTGCATTCAACTAAAACAAAAATTTGGGCGATTTTTTTTCTTCATGATTATATACATTAACTAAAAAACTACTGATCGAAGGTGATCATTTGTCAGACCTCTCCCAGGGGACCCGTACATAAAATAGAAGGTCGGTATGGTCGAAATCGGGATTGAATAATTGTTCCCGCGCACAGTGGGAAATTTTCGACTGTTTTTCTTCAAAAGTGGCTGGAAGAGTAAATTTTTTACAGAATTTCATTTTTTTTGATTACGTGGAACGGATTTTGGTAAAGATTGTTAAAGCCCGAATTAAAAAAAAAAAACTACAAAGTCAAAATTTTAAAATGGTTTATCTATATTTAAATAGTAACTAAATTACCCTTTATTCAGGTAAAAAATTACAATTGTTGGTGGTAGAGAATTAAAGATATTAGTCAACATATACGCAGGCGTGACGTTACAAAAAACAGAAGTGTATTTTAACTTGGGTTACAAAATTGCAAAACTCTGGGAATTGGGCAAGACTATCTGTATACAATTTTTTTAGTAATATTTTAAATGTTTCAGGTTAGTTTTCGAAGTTTTTAAATGCAGAAATCTTTTCTGATTTTTTTTTTAATCAGGTGAAGTATCTGGCGCGACGTTACCTGGCGTTACGTTACTAAAATCTCCATTGAACACGTTTTGTTAATATTGTTCTTGAACAAGCAATCAGAGCATAAATACGGCTTTTCAAAATATCTCGACCCTGGCGCCACCTAGCTAGATCATTTTTCGCAAAAATGTTTCTGTTAAATAAGCGGTATATATTATGAAAAGAAGAAAATTAAGTTAAATGTAGGACGTTTATTTTTTCGCGGTAGACTTTTCGCTGGTATCGCCGATATGGTGAAAGTTGAGTTTTTTTTAAATCGAACTTTAAGTAATATTTTATTGGTGACAAATTCCAGTTTTTAATTGTGTTGAAACGTTTTTGAGGTCGTTGAATAGAATCTGAAAGAATCGNTTTCTGTTAAATAAGCGGTATATATTATGAAAAGAAGAAAATTAAGTTAAATGTAGGACGTTTGTTTTTCGCGGTAGACTTTTCGCTGGTATCGCCGATATGGTGAAAGTTGAGTTTTTTTTAAATCGAACTTTAAGTAATATTTTATTGGTGACAAATTCCAGTTTTTAATTGTGTTGAAACGTTNGGCGTGACGTTACAAAAAACAGAAGTGTATTTTAACTTGGGTTACAAAATTGCAAAACTCTGGGAATTGGGCAAGACTATCTGTATACAATTTTTTTAGTAATATTTTAAATGTTTCAGGTTAGTTTTCCAAGTTTTTAAATGCAGAAATCTTTTCTGATTTTTTTTTTAATCAGGTGAAGTATCTGGCGCGACGTTACCTGGCGTTACGTTACTAAAATCTCCATTGAACACGTTTTGTTAATATTGTTCTTGAACAAGCAATCAGAGCATAAATACGGCTTTTCAAAATATCTCGACCCTGGCGCCACCTAGCTAGATCATTTTTCGCAAAAATGTTTCTGTTAAATAAGCGGTATATATTATGAAAAGAAGAAAATTAAGTTAAATGTAGGACGTTTGTTTTTCGCGGTAGACTTTTCGCTGGTATCGCCGATATGGTGAAAGTTGAGTTTTTTTTAAATCGAACTTTAAGTAATATTTTATTGGTGACAAATTCCAGTTTTTAATTGTGTTGAAACGTTTTTGAGGTCGTTGAATAGAATCTGAAAGAATCGCGAAATTCAAAATTGGCAATCCAATATGAGCGGCTGCTATCTAAAAAAAATGCCAAAAAAACATTTTGCGAGTTTCACAATATGCTGATAAATATTAATATTTTTTTAATTCGGGTCCAGACAATTTTCTTTTTTAAACTCTAAAATGATTAATCTTCTAGCCATTTTTGAATAAAATCGGTTGAGAATGTCCCACTGTGCCGTACCCATCTCTGGTTTATCTGTATTTATTTGTGTATACATATGTACACACGTTAACTTCACTTGAGTCCGGGAAATACCGAGAATCATACACCCGCCACGCCATACTAGCATTGTATGGTCTTGCTTGCAGAATTACTTACGTATGTATAGTATATGTATTTATATACATATGTCCTTACATACATACCGTTAAGGGCACAATAGATCTCCTGATCGCAGAGCATACATCAACCGATATCTATCTGCATAGCGTTAAACATAATTAGATACATATTAATAATATATATGTATGTACATATATACTGAATTAAGATGAGCAACAGTAACGGCATCATCAACATTATTAATACATAAATACAATCCTTTGACTGTAGGGAGTCACATGCATACGTGCATATATACTTGGTTAATTATTTAGAACGCGCAACTTTTTTTGCGTTTATTTGCACAGATTTCTTTTTTTCTTCAATTCATTTGCATATCCTTGATACATTTTATTTGCATAACTGGGGTTTTCGCGTTTTAAATAGCAGCACATATCATAAACAGAGATTACATGGCCATGTTTATGTGTATATGTATGTATGAATGTATACACAGCTTTGTAGGGATGATACATCTCTAAGTTACATACATATATAAATTTACAGGCGATGTTTGCATAAGTGCCAGCTCAAGTACCGACCCATTTTTTACGGCTACAATTCCATGATGTTACATTTTTTCTATTTACTATACACATTTCTCATTTATTTACATATTTCGTTGTATTTACTTGTAGCATGCACCTAAAAGTATGCTAACAACTATTTTAATTGCACAAGTCTATGCTACCCCGCCACATTTTTATGGCCGCCATTTTGAAAATCTCTATACAGGAGTTCCGCTGAAATGCGTAGTGGAATTCTTGGCGTGCCATTACTGCTCCTGCGAGCCAGCTAGTCTGCTGGTCTTATATGTGTATGTTTATATATTTTTTATTACTTTCCACACGCCCATTTTGAAGTGATTTCGCCTTAAACTATGCACTACAATAGTTTACACTAACGCACACAATTATTTCACATACCAATTTCCTGTTGCTTGATCATATTTACAATCCCAGCCGGGCGGCAACTTCTGGTACTGGCCTCTTGCCTCGGCCATTTTTGCGTTAAACTTTTCAATAAAACTTTAAAGTAAATTCTTTGTATTTTTCACTTGTCTATGCGGAGTTATATTTGTTTGTGAACTTTAAAATTCATTTCTTGGCAATTGACGCCTTTGTCTGCACAGCGAGTCCCAAGCGAACCCGTATTTTATGAATATCCTGTGTATACCTAGTGGAGCCAAATAGTGGTGTGGTGTGGTGTGCGTTTTGGGGGTTGCAAATGCCCACGGATTACACATATACCCATATACATACGAGCACTGTTCTAACGTGATGCTATATTCGCGGTGCGTTTCTCACTTTTCCACTACTTTTCACTTCGAGTTGCGGTCACGTACTGACTTGCCTACAGCCAGCCAAACTGTTTTGCGCTTGATGCTTTGCGAACTCAGTGTCCGGCATTTGTTGGATACGCACAACAAAAATAAAAAAAAACTCTATTCAAATGGTTTGGTGGAGCAAGCGTTCTTCGAAATTCGAACTTTCAATCTTCGAAAGACTCACGGGATGCGCGAGGTGCGCGCAACAAAATGCCAGTGGATGAGGACTCCATCGAAGGTGGTGAGTGGGCTGGTGTTACTTTGTTAATATACAAAGGGGGTGCGGCGCGAGTGATATAAATGCGAATGCGCGTATAAAAACAAACTGAGAAAAGTTTTCGTTACAACTACATACGAGTATGTACATGGCTTATAGCGAAGCGGGAAAATACAGTATTGGACATACATACATATCTAGAGCGCTATTGTTTGCCACTTATGTTTAATTATTTATTTTTAAGAATTTTCATTTAAAATAATTAGTCTGATAATGTGCAAGTTTCAAGTCGCTAAATATGACCGTTGATTTTTTTTTTTAATTTTTTTTGTCCCATTTGCTTCGATATAACGAATAAACACACTTTATATGGAAGAAAAAATTCTAAAAAATCAACGGTAAATTTTAGCCACTTGAAACTTGCACGTTATTAGACTAAAATTGAATGGGCTATAAAATTATGTACTCGAAAAAATTCTAACACTTCTGAAAAAGAAGTTTGAAATTTGGGCGAAAATTTGTCGCGTTTTTTTTGTAGTTTTTTAAAAACTTTTAAACTTGGATTTATATGAGTTTTGTAAGAGAATGAACTGTATTTTAATTGAAAATTCTTAAAAATAAATAGATAATCACGAGTGGCAAATAATATCAATTTGAAATGGGGGTGCTATTGTATTGGCCAATACTGTATGATTTTCTTTAGTTTTGTTTTGATTCTCACTTCACTTATTAAGTGTGACTGCCACCGGCATCCACATGGAAGTTCAACGCATGCAACGCGCATTTGTGCGCTAATCGAGTGTAGCCGGTAGTTTATTTATGAAGAAAAATAAACAAAATACATAATCGAGTCGCCTTTGCGATATGGAGGGTCAGCAAAAAATAAAAAACCCAAATGAGACATTGTATTTCATTGAATTTTTGTGGCTGTCCAAAACAAAAAAAAATGAAATGAAAAAAAAATGTGCACATACATATACCTACATACTTATATGTAGATAACTAGGGTGCATCATCAAAAAAAGTTGCGGTTTTTCCACCGAAATTATAAAATTTATTTTATTGTAAGACTTCCGCCAAAATATGTATTTCGGGAAAATATTAAGATTTACTTGACCTAGACCGATTTGATATGATACCTCGAAAAATGCCATTATGTGTTTTTATTCTGTTGATAAAATGTTTAACATTTTTGTGCAGAGCTTTTAAGCTTTCGATTATTGAGGTGATTATTTACCAAAAATGTTTTTAAATACTACTTTTATTTATAAAAAAAAACTAAATTTTGGATTCAGCTTGCCTTAGCCTTAGAATATAATAAGTTTTATAATTCTGATGGAAAAACAGTAGCAATACATATATATATTTTTTTTTTGTATAAATAGTGATGCACCCTAATGTATGTATATCCAAACGCTCTTATGTATCTGCATTGCTAAGAACTTAACAAATGAATGTTGTACGTGCATACACTTGTATATATAGATGTATGTACTTACACATTTATGTCTCAAAAATTTTATTAAACCTTATTGTTGCCTCTAACTATTTCCCAGTAGATAATTCTATGAGATAAAAGCCCTTCCAAAAGGCCTTCCACTTTACATTCCTTATTCCTTTCTTTTTTTTTTTGTATGGAGTTGCGGGCACAAATTGAAAGGCGTCTGCTACCCATAGAAGGCCTTCCAAAAGGGCTTTTGTAGAACGGACTTCGAAGGCCTTTTGGAAGAGTTGTACTATAGCTGTTTCTTTAATTTATAAAAATCACACTTTTTAAGGTCTCGAGTAAGCCTCTTCCCAGAAATCATTGAGGTTAGTCATCGATTAGAGAATGACTGGAGAACTAGCCACATTCTCCAATCTCAAACGTTAGAGAACGACTCGAAAAACTATCGAGAATCATAGCGATCTCAACAAAAATGGGACATAGTTCTCCACTCGAGAAAATATTAATTCCCGAATCGAATTCTAATGTTGATCTCTAATGGGATTCGAATGTGAATTTCAAACTACTGTTTTGCTTTATTGAATAAAACGCATTGTTTGCAAAATTTGTATTAAATGTATTCGCAATAAAATAATAATGGATTATTTGAACTTAAAAATAATGTATAATTCATTCATTTGAATTCATGCATTTGGAATATTGCTTATTTACATTTATATGAATTTGCGTTGTTTCTCTAATCGTTCTCGAATCGAATTCTAATGTAGTTCCCTAACTTCGTCATCGACTCGAGAACGATTAGAGAATTACCCTAGTTATCTAATGTAGAAATCCAAATTTCTCTAACGTTAGAGACTGTGTTTGCTGGGTTAGGGCCGGTTACTCAAAGTCTGGTTAACACTAACTGCAGGTTAAACATCGTTATCGACGATATGGACTTCGTAACATATAAAAGGCAGTCGGTAACGTCGATAACGATGTTTAACCTTTAGTTAGTGGTAACCAGACATTGAGTAACCGGCCCTTAGAATGGCTTCACTTCATGGACGTACATATGTATTTACAAAAAAAAAAAAAATAATAATAATTTTTTTAAATAATCTTTAAAATCGAATATCTCGAAAGCTTTGTACATTTACTTCACTTGTGAGAAACTTTGATAACAGCGCAACTAGCACAACGCAAGTTTCAACTCACGTATTATCCATTTCAGTAACATATTTTTCCCCATCTGTGGCATTAATTACGTTTTTTTGTAATTATCTTATTCTACAAGCAACCAGCCAATTTATGATCATGTGGGTTCACCAACACTTGAGATGAAGTCATAGTTAATAAATTTTGTTATACATACATATGTATGTTTGTACATATGTACATACTTATGTGCATACGTACGAGCAATTGAATAATTTTGGTGAGCTTGAGTTCCATTACAGCGAGGGATGTGCATTATACACTCCACTTCATTTAAATGGGTACATTTCTTCAGGAACTTGATAAGCCAGCTATTGCGATTAAAATAAAAGAAGCCTATCTATATGATGTTGACAACTGTAGAAAGCGCACAGAATCTGATAGAATGAACTTTAAGTCGAACAAAGAAAACTTAGCTCGTTAATAAACTTTTTTAAGCTGCCTTTACACGGGTCGATTTCTTGGCCTATTTTTGTCGTTCAACCAAAATCGATCAGTGTAAATGGCAATTTAACCGTAAAACTTAAGTATTTAGGCTTGTCGATTTCTAAGTCGGTTTTCCAGTGGTCAGAAATCGACCCGTGTAAAGGCAGCTTGAGAAAGCAAATAAAAACAAAGTAAATATCCATACAGGAACAAAAACCTTACGTGGGAGTGACAGAAAGTCAGCATATCACCGCCGCGATACTGGATCAAAATTAAAGGAAAAAAGTAGATATTCATACCACTACAAAGTAGATTTCAAATATTTGTGCTTAGCGAATTTCAAAAACAGACATAAATTAAAGCACAATGTTAAGAATCACGACTGAAATGCCTTGCAAAGACAACAAGAAAAAGGTGGTTTCATGTGGCAAAACGGTGGTTTCATGTGGCAGAAAGTAAAATTTCAACAGAAACCAATTATTTTCAAATCGCTAGCTTAGAGTGAAAAGTTGCTAAGTCCACTTTTTATGAAAACTCATTTTTTGAAACAGGAGACTAGAGACTAGGAGAGACTAGGATAAATGTAACTGTTTTATGTTTTCTCGCTTATCTTCAATGAAGGAAAATTTGCTAAGGCCAAAATAAGCTCCGAACATCTGATTCGTGTGGAGTTTTGCTTTGCTTTAAACAGGCAAAATTTTGCATTCAGAGTTTTGCGAAATACTTGAAGAAAATGGCTATAAGTAGTTTTTTTCCTCTCCTGTAAAATTTTTAAATTGGGACTTAGCAACTTTTCACTCTAAGCTAGCAAATTGTGTATCAATTGACAGGTCTGTATGTATAGCTTTGAATTTTAAGTCATTTTTCGTTGTGTTATGACGTTCTTCCAGCTAATATGATTTCTTTCATTAATATATTTAAATTTTTTATTTGGAATTGGCTTGAAAAATTCCGGAATCATAAACATACATAGAAAAATTATGACAAACGCCCGATTTAGCTGTTTTTGCAAGGTGTCGAAGCAATATTTTAAAGTCTCAAGAACTTTCGTAGTAGGCATTTAAAATAGATTGTATTTTGCCTTGTACGTACATGGTCGTTCCTATTTCCAGGCACACCACTGTATTGGAAGTTAAAAGTTGTTTGAACTTTTTTTTTTTTTACAGCCATTTCTCGTGATTCACTATTTTTATTTAAGTACAGTTCGGCACTTCATAAATCACCTTCACTAATTAACTGCTAGCATGTGCGAATACGGCGACTTTGAGATAAAAATTTTTATCGCAATTTTTCTTATCAGCCACAGTCTTTCAGCTTCTTTGACAAACAATCGACGCCAACGCAAAGCAACCAACATTTGAATGCATTAAACTCGAATAGGAGACTAAAGACGCAGTTCATACTCGTACTGGGACTGTTGTTTTTTTTATTGAGTATACGAAATTTGAAAAGCTGGATTTAATTAAAAGCTTTGGCTGCTTAAACGCGTCAACGCTATTGCGTCAATGTGAAAAAAAGAAGCAAAAAACAAATACGCAAAGCTTTTCGTTTCTTGTTTTCAATAACATTTTAAATGTTACTTTGATTTTTTATTAGAAATAAAAATAACAAAACAAAAATTAAAAAATGCGCTTAAAAATGCAATAACAATAGATTAATTTACATATAAATTTTAACAAGCAACAGGCACGTGTGGATATGTGTAAATTTATGTACATATGTACATACATCCATATGTATGTACAATGTGGACAAATTCGTGCCGAGTTGCATATATACACCTTTGTGTATATAAAACATTAT